CCTATTATAGGCGTACACAACATTGACAGGAGATATTATATAACAACAAAATATTAATCTAAAAAATTGAAAACAATAAAATAATAAAATTCACCAAAGTAAAACTAAAAACTTAACTGAAAACAAATGCCTGTTCACAAATGGCCGGCAAGTTTTCGTTTAAATTTAAACAACGAGTCGTGGAAAATGTCTAATGTTTCTATATTCATCTCGTTGTACTGTGCCAACATCTGGCAAGAGGAGAATGGCGTCCAAGGTTAGTCCTTACAGAAGGCAAGGCAAAAGATTTTTTGATAGGATGTCGGGGTATGCGAGCTGGCACTGTCAATTTAACACATTTCAGGAGTTCACTACATTTTATTTTACCGTTGACAAGCCCGTACAAAAACACCAAATCATGGTCTCTACGACGGCAACGCAACGAGTTCATTTTAAAAAAGGCAAGACGATGCTCGTATGGTGACCGGTGTGACACGCCCTGCGAAATAAATGCCAAATGCCTAGTGACCGCACGCTGAATACCCTCCAAGCGTTGGGAGTGAACAGCATATACAGGGCTCCATGCCACGCTAGCGTACTCTAAGTTACTTCGGACCAAAGCATTGTATAATATTTTATGGGTGCGATTTAAACGGAAACCTGCAGTACTTTGCCTAAGAAAACCTAGCATTTTCGAGGATTTATTTACAATATTATTAATATATGAAGTGAATTTAAGGTGCTTGTCCACTGTTACACCTAAGTCCCTTATTTCTTCTACTTCAGTTAATGTTGAACCGTTAATTTCATAAGTGGATGGGAAATAATTTTTCTTTTTTGTACATTTGATATGGTAGCATTTATCAACGTTGAGGGTCATAACGTTTGATTCACACCATGTGTGAATACTGTTTAAGTCCTCCTGGATAAGTTTCATGTCATGGGAAGAATTGACTGCCCTGTAAATTTTTAAATCATCCGCAAATAGGCTGAATTTACAATTTTTTATGTGCTTCGCTATATCATCGATAAATATAAGAAACAGTACTGGGCCTAAGTGAGAGCCCTGTGGGACTCCTGACGTTGCAAAATATATGTCTGACTCAAAACCCCCAACAGCAACAACCTGGGGTCTCATACTGAGGTAAGATCTAAACCAGTGAAGCAAATTACCATGTATCCCTTTCATTCGCAATTTCATTAAAAGTAGTGCGTGATCTACTTTATCAAAAGCACTGGTAAAATTTGTGTATACAGCATCAATTTGACTTCCGCTATCCACCCCCAGTGCAATTTCAGAAATAAATGAGATCAAATTAGTCTGTGTTGAGCGACCCCTGCGGAACCCATGCTGGTACTCGGATAGTGAAGTATCTATGTGGCTAATAATTAGTGTATTAATCAGAGACTCAAACAATTTAGAAAAAGTAGACAAAATGGAAATCGGCCGGTAGTTTTTTACGTTGCTTGTTTCTCCTTTTTTGTATACTGGTACTATTTTTGCTTTTTTCCATTCTTCTGGGAACACACCATCTCTGAGCGAACAATTAAAAATCATCGTTAATGGTTGAGATAAAAGAGATCCACAGATCTTTATAAATAGAGGAGGTATTTTATCAGGACCGGCTCCTTTCTGTATGTCTAACCGTTTAATTGCTCTTAAGGTATCATATTCAGAAAATTGAACATTCGATAAAGTAAGTGACAATAAATCCTCAAAGCTGTGATATGTTTTTTCAAAATTTGAGGTGAACGTGGAAGCAAAATGTTTAGCGAAAAGAGTGGCCATCTCAGAACCAGATTCTGCAATGGAATCGTTTAATTGCATTTTTGATGGAAGAGTTGACTGGTTGCCACGTTTGTCTTTAACGTATTGCCAAAAAGATTTGACGTTACTCGATATTCCATGCTCAATATTTGCCTTATAGTCGCTATAGCACTTGCCAATAAGCTTGTGACAGCGGCTCCGTAAGAGGTCATGTTCTAATTTATCACGTGGATTTCCATATTTCCGATATCTGTTGCGTAGCTTATTTTTCTCGGATAGAAGTTTAATTAGTGTGCGGCTAAACCATTTGGGGTATTTACTCTTGGAAGGACGGCGCTTGGGGACATACCTATCAATAATTAAACTTAGTACATCATAGAATTTTGTAACCATTTCAATGAAATGGTTACAAAATTCTATGATGTACTAACGTTGCTACAGCTCGAAAACCTTTCCACCCAATCAACACACTCCAGGTCTCAGGCAATTTCCTCATAATTTGCCTTATAGAAATTGTGGTCAGTTCGTTTATTAGGCTGAAGATAGGCAAAATTTGCCTTTTGTAACGTTACCAAAAGATTAGGATGTTTACAGTCCAGCCTACTCAAGTGTTCTAGAGGCTCCTACACATCAACACCGGGAAAATTGCTCATAATGAGATCTAAGTATCTACCGTCACTGTTTGGTATGTTGTTAAATTGACTAAAGTTATTAAGAGACATGAAATCAACAAGACCGCATCCGAGTGTACTATTATAATTAGATGGAACCATTTGCGCAATATGATCATAATCTCTACTCCAATTAATGAATTCTAGATTAAAATCGCCCATAATTAGGACCATGTTACCAACTTTTTTATATTTTCTTCGATCATGCATGACAATTCCTCACTAAGTATTCGCCGCAATGAATCCTCCGTCACATAACGGTCATCTACTGGAACCGCCTGTGATTGCTGGCGAGCTCTAAAGGTAACGTTGCTGGCTTCACATGATGTTTCATCAAGTATGCTGATGTTACTGGGGCCCGGTTGAGTGGATTGGAGTGGTCGGTCGGTCGGTCGGTCGGTCGGTCGGTCGGTCGGTCGGTCGGTCTGTTAGGTTTTTTTTTTTTTTTTAAATAAGTTGTACACTACAGACTCTTGGTCCGTACCTTTTTTAAAGTTGCGTAATTTTATTAGTACAGTGCATGTTGTTACGTACTCTCTTAACTACATCGACTAATACTTACAGCTACAGCAGTGCGGGTTTTTTTTTTCTTCATATATATTTAATTTATATGTAATACAGAGTAGCGTACTTAAATGCTAATATTTGTTACAGTGTTACATCTTTAATCTTACTCTAACATTAAGGTTATTATTAGCTATAATTCTTCTCCTTTTTGTTTATATTATAATTTTTTTAATTTTTTTTGTAGTATTAAGTAATATACTTAAATAATAATATCCATATATATATATATATATATATATATATATATATATATATATATATATATATTTTTATAAAACAGTGCTACAAGGAGTATTACAATATATGTCTATAATTATTCTAGTCCTTATGCTACGTGCATTCCGAGACTTCCGAATGCCATGCAGTTACCCAAAACAGCAGCCAGAGCTCTCTTAGATGTTAAGTTTTGCTAGGCTGTCCGTAACCGCTGCGTTCCTGTCTCGAATTGCCATTTTTAAATTGTAGTCCAGTATTACTTTGCTTCCAGCGCTCGTGGCTTGGCCTATAAATCTTCCCAAAACGTCACTGGAGTCGTCAGAGTAATAGACACAGGATGCAGTGTGTCTTCATATAGCAACCACTGCATGTTGCACACTGTCATGGAGTTTGATTTTTGTTGCCTGTGTCTTTACTATCACCACCGAAACCTGAGTTAATCCCTGCGCTTCGTGGATGGTTAGGACTCGCGATCCCGTGTCAGAGCCAAATCCCTGGTTCTTAAGGAATTCTTTCTCCCGTTGAGTGTACACTAGATACAAGGTGTTTGGGGAGTTTTTTGGTATGTTGGCTCCAGCAAAGGTTTCGTGGCGCAGGGAGTGCACTTGAGACCTGGAAGAGTATACGCCGCTATAGATCTCTCTGAGGGCGTACGCTACATCCATGGGGTTCCTATGTGTGCACCTCAGTTATTTGTTTATGGAGGCGATGTGACTCGGCCGAGTGTACTGCATTGGGAAGAGGTGTTCTCTGTTAATGTATGGCAGTTGATTGATGTCACCAATGAGCATGATTTTCTTCACCTCGCACAGTCTAGCTGCCATTATTGTGGCTCATTAGCGAAGTGGTTCATTAGCGCTTCGTCAACCAGGAGTCGAGTAAGTTTACCCTTTTCTGATTCCTTCACGCCCTTCACCAATACCGAGGCCATTGTGCGCACCATGTTGTTTGCGGCGGCACCTATGCGGTTGGCTAGCTTCGACTTGAGGTCTTTTGCTGCTTCCGTGTTTGTGGTGATCACCAAGTCGCTTGCCGCGTCCACATTGTTAACGACCCATGTTGATTTGCCACAGCCTGGAACCCCGTTTACCCAGGTTATTTCTGGTGTGTCCCAGTTGCGCCAAGGATTCGTCGATTCGACAGTTTCCATTATTGATTCGGCTGTTTCCAGGATCCTATCGTCTAACATAACCTTGGTGCACCGGACAGTCACAACTATATGGTCACCTGGCGGAGTCGCAAATACCGGTTTGCCTCTTATCTCCGTTTCTTTCTCCATGATAGGCACAAAGCCAGCAGACTCGCAGTATGCCACCATGTAGTTGTCAGCCATTTTGCCACATACGACATTGGATGTTTTGTTGTCGTATATGGCACCTTTGCCTCCGCAAGTTTAACCCTTAGCAATTCCTCGACTCCTAGATGGAATGTGTGCAAAATATCCTTGCACTTTGCGAGGTTCGCTTGTGTTGTTGCTTTTATTAGGGCTATGTACTCTAAGAAGGCGTTCAGCATGTGGTCTCTAGGTCCTGTTGGTTGTTTTAGAGGTGGTGGATGTATATTTATTTTCCCGGGTGTTCTGGGTGGCTGGATCCTGCAATATGGTCTTTTTGGCGGAGCTCTTGATGGACTGCCCAGTATGGCTCTCGTTGTGTCCCCTGCTTGATTAAGTTTGCGCCTGCTTGTATGGGCTATTTGCGCGATATTTTTTGCTGCGGCGCTCAGTGCCTCAAGCAAGGGACTAGCCTCTGTTCTTTTTCGAGCCTTATGAGGCTCTTGTGCTCGGGCTTCACTGGCTATTTTTTCTTGAAGACGGTCTGACCCGCTTTGCGTTTCTGGATTTGCAATGGGATGTCCCCAACAGTCGACATAAGTGGCTGCAGCTGTGAAGTCATGTTTGACGAGATAGTTGAGGTTTTATCCTCTGTTTTCGTACACGACAACCTCATGACGTTCTGAGGCTTTAATACAGCCAATGCGATCAGCCACCATGCCTTCCTCGTGTAGAACATGCATTGCATCTACGCTTATAACGCGGGGGACCGTGTCTTCTTCGTTCTCCCTCACTCTTTCCCAGCAGTGGTGTACTGCAAGCAGTGACATCCACTATGCTGGAGCAGAGTTTCCCATTTCTATACGTCTCGAACGTTGGTGTGTCTCCTGTGTTGAGGATATGGAAGCCGTTCTCGTCCAGGAAGGAACTATATGCCGCCCCTCGCTCGTCTTCCTTTTCACTGCCCCACCATTGGCTCCAGGCGTTTATGTCCCCTCCCACAATGATGTTGTTTGTGTTGAGTTTGACGCAAGCAGCCTGGGTCCGCCTTAAGTAGGGTTCTACCTCGTGATCCCCTTCGAAGTATACCGACACTAGTCCTAGGCTCATTGTACCGGTTACCAGCACAACCGCCGCTTCTGTTTCGGTTACCAACTGAGGGTCATGGATCACCTCAAGTTTGTTCCCGAATATGATAATTGCGGCTTTCACTGGTTTTTGCCGGTTTAGGCTGCATTGGATGATTTGCGTACCTGGATATTGCTTCATGACGCCAGTACTTCCCACGTAGGGCTCTTGTACCATGGCGACCAGTACGCCGGTGTCCATTGCAGCACGAACCAGTTCTACTGTGGCAACCTGGGATCTCTGGAGGTTGGCTTGGATGAACTTTATTCCACCTTGGTCGCCCTTAGCAATAACTTATGCGAGAACGCGCTATTGCATCCCACTTTTGCCAGATTTTGCAGTCTTTGTTGAAGGCGTTGTGTGCCAAGTCGATGCCCTCGATGGGTGGGATGATTCTTTGCAGTTTTTGCACTTTGGAGGTAAGCCATCAAGTCTACTGGGACATTTTTCCCATTTGTGGGCCTCTCCGCAGTGGCTGCAGAGCTTATCTTTTTCTTGGCACACACCTCTAGTATGCCCAAATCCAAGGCATTTGGTGCATTGCACAAGAGGCGAGTGGTCAAAAATTGGCCTTCTTTGGAGACCTATGTATATTTTTCCTTCTTCTATCAGTCTCCTGTATACGGATGGCGAGAGCTCTAGTACAGGGTGACATTCTAGTGGATTGCGCGCCTTCTTCCTGTACTTCACTCTCAACACACAGGTCTTCATGTCGATGTCTTGTAATAGATGTTTGTTTTGACTGATTATATTCTGGAGAATTTCGGCATCTGAGTGGTATGCCAGCACGTCCCGCACGATTGCCAGTGGGTTATTAGCTTTGGCGACTTCGGCTTTCAGTTCTTTGTTTTGCCGAATTTTGGTTAGGTCCAAGTCATGTTTGCTCCCGCAGCTCAGGACGATTTTTTGGTTACGCGCCTTCCTCACCCTTTCCACCCTGGCACCCGTTGTTTTTGTGTCCAGGGTTTCCCGTATAATGTCAATGACGTTCTCCCCGGTTTTTTTGGGGTCTGTCGATGACACTATGAGCGTGTGGTTGGGTTTTGGAGGTGGTGGAGTGGCCGCCACTCTGGCGTAAGAAGGCTTCGGTTTGCCTTCGGGTTTGGTGGCTATTCCCATTTCCTTCGCCAGGTTGACGGCCGTGAGATCCGAAGATCTATTCCGATGTTCTCTTAACGTCCTCAGCTCCGAGCACATTATTTCTATTTTTTCCTGCAAGGGATTAATTATCCTGTTTAGCACTTCCTCATTTATGGAAGCTGCTGTGGGATCGATGGCTTGCTGTTGTTTTGCCTGATCTTTTACTTCCTCCACTAGCTTCCTGAGCTTTGCCATTTCAGTACTCATTATGCCGTCATTTGTTAGGGAAGGAAGCGCCTTCTCCATACGCTTTAGGGTCTTGTGGCTGGACTCTATTTGTGCAATGGTCTTTTCGCGTTTTTTTTGCAAGGTGGAGCGCATCTCATTTGTGTTGTTCCATAAGGTCTCCACCTTGCCCTGTAGAGAGGAGAGATTTGCGGAGGTCTTGGCCGCTGCGTCATCATTAGTGAGGTCCTGGAGGGCTTTGATCCGCTTTTCTTGCTCTTTGAGTCCACCCTGGATCTCGCTGATTTTTCGGAATGGCTCCTGGGTTTCAAAGTCCAGCCAACTGCGTATGTTTTTCGCTTCCGTTAAAGTATTTTTAATTTCTTTTCTGGCACTATACAAATCTGAGGCCAGTTCTTTTATCAGCCCCGTCACGGTCTTGGTGTGGGCGCGCTCTAGTCGCATTAGTTCTTGCGCGCTGCGAGTGCGCTCCTTCTCCAGGTTGTATTTATGCCAGGACCTGGAGTCCGATAGTGCCAGAACCATTTCGTAGAGGGACTGCAAGCACTCGAGTGCCGTCTGCTTGCACTCCCTCTTCATGTTGCCGGCGCATTCTAATGCCTCCTTCTCTCTGAGGAGCATTTCATTGGCCTTCTTGGTTGCCATATCCATCTCTACACCGAGCCGCCTGCTGGAGTTTATCAATAAACTCATTCTATCCCTTTCTGGAATTTCGGCTGTGGGAGACTCAGGAACGGAGTTTACTGATGATGTTTCGTCGTCGGAGATAATTGGACGAGGGTTGTCTTCCTCCAGGCTCCAGTTGGTGACTCTCTCCAGAGGTCTGTCTGGAGCGGGTCCGGGTCCGGGGCAGTGGCGAAGGTCATTGTGGAGTCGCCACGATCGCTGGTTGAGGCCTTTGGCTTTGTGGTATTTTTAAAGACTTTTTCCCGCAGCGATCGCGGGGCCTGGGGAGGTGGAACAGGATTTAGGGTCCTGGATGGCACTTAGGTTAGGTTAGGTTAGGTTAGGTAAGGTTAGGTGGCGACGCCAGGCGCGCGTCATTTTGATGCGTACCTGGCAGGAACGTTTGGCGGCTCCCACTGCCGGACATAGAGTGGCACAGGCCATTAGGCCTGTCCTGGAGAAGTGGATCGGTTCCCGAAATGGCAGTTTGTCATTCCGGATGGTGCAGGTGATGACTGGGCATGGATGCTTCGGTCATTACCTGCACGCTATCGGGAGGGTACCGAGCCAAAGGTGCCACCATTGTGCCTGCGCCGACGATACGGCGCAGCACACGATGACGGAATGCCCGGCGTGGGAGGAGCCGCGAGGGCGGCTCCGTGACGTCATCGGGTCGGATCTCTCGCTGCCGACCATCTTTAGAACAATGGTCGACAGCAGGGCGACGTCGCATGGGGAGAAGGCGGGCGGCACACGAGCGCCGTCTCCCGCCCTAATGGGCCTCCGGGTGACAGACGTGGGGACGTCTGTCACCTAACGGTATGAGGGAGGAGAGAGAGTTGGTAGGTCTGCCCTTCTCAGAGCGGGAGTCCAACATAACTCTCCTTGCTTCCCCTAAG